ATCCACCATTAAACAGTGGTGGAGGCCTTCGTGTCCAGTTGTCCCCCTCCTACAATGCTGTTATTGCAAGTATGACTCCGCCCCCTGTGAGCCAAAGGTGTGAATCAGGGCCCCAACAATACCAACACAAAGAGGGAAAAAAAGACAAAAACAAGAGGACATTGAGCCCTGCTTGCATTCACTACATACAGATGACACGACACCTAAGAACCACAGCATCCAAACCAATAAGTCAGGTGATGGGGCACATGACCCTCTATGAACAATAGAGCTAATCAAGCCTATTGTTAAGTGATGGTCCTCTTTTGCATGTGACTAACCTGTTTGTCCACCATGTGGAGGCAGTGCTTATAAGGCTGAGTTCACCTGAAACTCATCAGACTGAAGAAGTCTCTTGGAGGAGAGATGAACTGTTTCACTAAAGAAGAACCCATCCAGAGGACCTACTTATTTTTTCTTTTTGATTTTTTCTACCTGGATCACTGAGATGCACCAGGACAACCTGTTGTATAACACTGATAGGATGTCCAACCTTTGTAAAAATTAATTAGTTATATGAATAGTCCTTGAAGGAGAAAGTCAAGCATTGTTATGGAAACATCTGACTCAGTTCATCGAGCGACATGCATTCTGAACCAGTAAGAGCTTCTTAAAGCTGTTTGATACCAAAAAATGTAATTGCTCTACCTGATTGAGTGTATAAAAGGGTGGACAAGAAATAGGAAGGAGGACATACGAGACAGCCACCCTTGGCCTCAAGCCAAGAGTGGGGAGGGGGCAAGACTGGGGGGCTAAGAGCTGAAGACTATTCAGAAGAAAACTGAAGAAGAAATTCAGAAGATTGGAAGAGAACTCCGAAACAAGAAAGAGGAAACCCAGAAGAACTGATGAGGAAAACTCAGAAGAAAACCTAAAGTGAATCCCAGAAGAATTAGAAGGGACTCAGAGCCAAAGACTGAATTGGAAGAAGGAAGATTGGCTGATCTGAGTTGATTAGACCAGAAGATGGTTATCTAGGCCAGGGGTTCCCAAACTTTTCCATGCCAAGGCCCCCCAAACAACTTTATCTTCTGGCCAGGGACCCCCTTGCAAGTTGACAATAAAATACATTAATATATGTAAAGAAATATCTACTTTTTAGAATTTAAGAATGTTTTTCCCTCACTTTTATTCACTACTGAATAGCTGTAAAGCTTTACTTAATGTCTGCTGCCTCATACTGTACTTCCTGATTTTACTTGGCCAGGAGTTTTTTACGCAGTGTCCTCCATAGGCTGCTGGTCGTTTCATTTGGCCTTTTTTGTCACAAACTTGTCCATTGCTATGCTAGCTTCAGACTGAACAAACTCACTATTAAACTCAGGAGAACTGCCACCTGTAGTTTTCTGAGTGGTTCCTGCAAGTTTAGTGCTGAGTGGGAACAAACCCAGAACAACAACAAAAAGCAGAGAGGTGGATGGTTGTAGCAAAATCAAAGACATTCTTGCCAAAAACTAAAGACATGTAAATATCTCTAAAAATGGGGCAGCAAACTTATGAATAAATAAACTTTCTTGTACACCTGTCTTAAAATGTAAGGCATACTGGAGCTTGGTTGGGATGTAGATTTACTTTATTTGCAAATATGAAACTTACCAAATCTGAAAGATGGGCATGGAAAAAGACCTTATATTGTTATAAATTATATTTAAAATAGTAATTGAAATACAAACAGAATTTTTTTGCTTTTTGTTGAAATGTAAATGAGTGTATCTCAGAATTTATAGACTCTACTTAAAAATATTAGTATCAAAATACACCTAATTTTTGTGAGATTTCATCTGAAGTGTAAGTATTAAAACAGCTGCTGTGGTTTTACAGATATTAAGGATGGAAAATAATTTTAAATATTTTTCACTCTCACCTGAATAATTTTTTGCATTAGGTAGCATATAACCTATTTAAAACCATAATGATTCAGGCTAGAAACTCTTGGAAACCATAAATCCTCTTGTGGACATAACTTGTGCAAAGATTCATGCTGCTAAAATTAACTGGAGCAAAGTTACAGAGGTTTTAGTAAAGAAATATTTTTGGATTTTATTGTTCTGTACAGGACAGACCATGTTGGTACTATTACTAAATGTTAAGAAATCTGACTTTTTATTTGCAAAAGTTATTTTCTTTTCTTACCTGCCTGAAAAATTATCCAAACATTTACAGTATTTGTCACCACATATTTGACTTCATTTGGACCATATTCACTCAAAATCAAGTAAAAAAAACTTTCAACACACTTTATAACCTATTTTGGTATCTATTTTGACTTGCTTCACAAAAATAATGTCAATTCTTGATCCTTTACAAATTTGCAATGATGCCATTTTGTACAGTTTGTTTACTTTCTGATTCAACTGCTTGACATTTGAACTGTGTTTGGTGGATGTAAAAATGTTTCCTAATCTTTTAACCAAGATCCATCCATCCATCCATC